TGTCAACGCTGCTAACATCGGATGTTCTTGCTTTGACAATATATGAAGATGCAGCCATTTTCTCTTTAACCTGTGTGTTACTTTTAGAGTTAGAATTAGATGATGCTGGGGGGGGGAAAGAATGTGTATGGGGATTAGTTAGACATAACAACATCGCAGTAGAGTATTCTTCAAGGTTTGAAATAAGAGATGATAAGAAATGACGGGTTAGAGAACCAGAAGGAAGGTTTGCATTTCAAACTAATTGGAGAATATGATTTATGACTGTTAATTGGAGGAGGGAATTGTGCTTTGATACTGTGTGCTGAAGGGAGGGGAATTCAGATTTTGGCTTCGACCGTGTACGTGCCGATGCCATGCTACTTGAATAAAGATTCTTTAAGGTAAACAATGCCTTGAAGTTCTTTGAAGAGTATCATCTGTCGGAAGCATGACACGTTGTTGTTCAGTCGCTACGTTGTGTCCGGCTCTTCACAACCTCATGGACCATACCACGCCAGCCCCCCTCCAACCTCCACTGTCTCCTGGAGTTTGCCCAAACTCATGTCCATTGCATTGATGACACCATCTAACCATCTCATCTTCTGCCGTCCCCTTCTCCTTTTGCCTTCCCTCTTTCCCGACCTCAGGGTCCTCTCTTCTCATTGGGTGGCCGAAGTATTTGAGTTTCAGTTTCAGTATCTGTCCTCCTGAAGAACAGTTAGAGTTGATTTCCTTTAGGAGTGACTGACTGGATCTCCTTGCAGTCTAAGGGATTCCCCAAGAGCCTTCTCCGGCATCACAATACTGTGTTTCCCTAAAAGTAAGATCTACCCTGAAAATAAGCCCTAGCTTGATTTTTGGGGTGGGCCTAATATAAGCCCTGCCCCCCCAAAAATAAGCCCTAGTTTTGGAGCAAGGTGCACGCCTAAAATCAAGCTAGGGCTGGGGTGGGGAGGGTGGAGCTGCCCCACGCACCCCGCACCCACTTACCATTGCAGCCAGGCTCTCCTCGCCGGCCCTCTTCTTCTGTGGCATCCCCCAGGCTGTATTTTGCAATCTGAAGCCTTTCCGGAAGGCCTCTGACTGCACAATGCAGGCCGGGGGATGCCGCAGAAGACGTGGGCTGGCTGGGCGGGGCTGTCAGTGCCGGAGGTGAGTGGAAAAGACCTCCCCCCAAAATAAGACCTGGTGCCTCTTTTGGAGGAATATAAAATAAATAAGACCAGGTCTTATTTTTGGGGAAACGCAGTAGTGCCTAGGAAATAACTGATCACTAGCCTAGATCTTTCCATTCTGGGACTGTGCACCTCGACCATCATATTGTGCATTAACTTTTCAAGTGTCTCGGGAATTTCTCCGACAAAGAGAGAAGCTCGGAGGACTGAGGTCCAAGAGACAAAATTAGGTCTCAGAGACTGTGTGATGGGCAAAGGTGAAGCCTTGGCGACAGCTGATAATTATACCCATTCCTTAATTTCAGAAGCCCTAAGAAAAATCACAGTCTCCCAATGGATCTGTGCTTGATTGTGCCTCAGGTGCAATTTTAAATTCAAGATGTCAGAGCACAGCCCTAGACGTGTTCTCTGGGGAGGATTCCTTGACTCACATTTTATTTCGAGAAACCTTGTATTAAAAAAAAACAACATAGTCGATATTACCGGATTGAGGAAAGAATTTGAAAGGCTTCTTTGCTTTTTTCCAGACTGTATCTGCTGCTAAGGGAACATGTAATTAGAAATGATAAAAATCCCAACGAAAATAAAAGGCAGTCCAGCAGTTGGATAAAAAAAAAGCCCAGAAAGCTATTTATTTGACAAGTTCAAATAATTTATGGTTTCAATTTGCCACCAGCACACCCAGAACAGGCCGAATTCTGTCCTGAGTTTGTAACAGATTTTAAAACAAGGAAGGGCTTAACTCATTTAATGGTGTCACACCAGATTTACAAGCAAAAGCTGACCCATTACATACCACATTAGGAGATAATGAAATCAACCGTGTTTTCTGGGAGAGGAGACGTTAAAGAGAATAACTTACACATACATACACCGAGATGCTATCTTTTGAGGGCACTCCCTGCAGGAAACCCCAGTGGAATTCTAATATATTAAAGACCTTAATGCATAAAAGGCGAGGAAATAAAACAGGAGGTGGGCGTACAACTTTCTGTGGAAGGTACTTCCGTGTGAACGTGCCATAAACGAACCTCAGTGAAATAATTATGACGATGTTAGGAAATTTACCTTTTAAGTAGAAACACATCATTTCCAGGATGCTCAAACTATTAGGACCAACCCTGCATCTCTTCTCCGCATTTGTGCGGCGGGAAAATGCCAAACCAGATCATCATTCAAGGGCACAAGAGGAGACGGAGAGGCAACGTTTCCTAGAGTGGAATCACCCTGAAGGTCACTCTGCGTGAAGCGATATTTATTATTTAAGGAGATCTTACTGACAAGCGGCATCTGAAGCGACTGCGAGGTGGAAGATGAAGGAGCAAGGAAGACGACGCGGAAATATTTGCTTATTTGGAAGTGGTATCGTGCTATCGGTGGTTAGCAGGCCTGTCTGGGATTTGTTGATTGTTTCGCACAAGTGAGAATGTGGACTGCTCATCCAAAGCAAGCAATACAGATAGCCACCGCAGGTAACTTGTTGAACAAACTTACTACAAGGATTTTAAGTCTTTGGGTAATGCTCTGCTGAAGGGTAAGCCCGGTTTTTTTAAAGACCTGGGCAGAAGAAAAACCTAGTGATTTTATAAAAGTGAGTTTAATGTCTCCGCTATCAGATAATCACTACAACTGTAGTATAGGGTGAGAGAAGAAATAACATGAAATGTACATTCCCCCCCCCCCCACACACACACCCTGTGTGGAAATGGAATGCAGGTTGATTTCTCTTATTAAAAAAGTAAACCCTCCGTACAATCCAATCAAAATACAGAGATTATAGATTGAAGCAAATGCTCCAATTTTAAATGGGGCATTTTCCAATGGATTTGGCCTTTATGAGCCCCGATCCTCCACAAAGAGAGGCCTGCGTGTCAGCCAAGTGAAAATAGGATAACCATCTCTTGCTAAAAGGGGAAGAAAGATGCATAATGTAACGTCCCCTTTGCCAAGGAAAATGCAGAATCAGGATTTCTGCTCCGCGCATTCCCGAGACAGCTATTTAATATTGGATGATATGAAGCAAATTTGCGCTGAGCAAAGAAGGCCGGGAGAAGGGTATTCCTTAGGTAAGCATCGTTCGCGAGATTGACTGGTAGCTTTTAATCTTGGATCTTTTTCCCTCTATTGCCACTGATTGACATCAGTACTTTTTTTTTTTAAAAAAAAGGTTCAGGCCTAAATCAACACCCTTAAAAGCCGGTGCAAATTTAGCTTACAATCCCATTAGCCTGTACTGTTGAAATACGATGTTGATTTTTTATTTTTATTTTTTGGCACAAAATAAAAGAAAAAGAAAAGAAAAAATGACGTCTTCAGCCAAAGAAGAAGGGAAGAACGAAAGATCGGAATGAATGCCTTTGGTGGTTTGCCTTTGATAGAAACAATTTTGTAAGAAATGAAGAACAATTTGTGTTCTTCAAAAGTTGCTGAGATATACGCCATGCTCAATTAGAAAGAGGGTTTCAAAGGTTAAAATCTGGCTGGCGTGAACTGTCTTCAAAATGAATTATAATCGCTCCTCTACGGATCCATGGTGGGGCAAACCACGATTCCCACGAAAGGTTTTGCAAACGACAATTCATAGCCAGGGTAAGTGATAGCAGCTAAAGGGAGCTGGAATGGGCTGGAATTATTTGAAATTCATTTCCTTTGGCAAGCCACTCCTTCCATTTCCATCTGTGCACTCCCGGCAGGCAAATGTCTTTGCCTAAATCAAAAGCCAACTAGTTCAGTTGATTGCTTGGCTGTCTACTGAAGAAGCAGATAAAAGAAGAAGGAATACACAAATCTGAAAGTCTCTCCAGCACATAGTCCAGACCAGCGTAGTCAACCGGGGTAGTCAACCTCTCCAGCACATAGTTCAGACCAGGGGTAGTCAACCTTGGCTCTTTTATGACTCGTGGACTTCAACTCCCAGAATTCCTGAGCCAGCACAGCTGGCTCAGGAATTCTGGGAGTTGAAGTCCATGAGTCATAAAAGAGCCAAGGTTGACTACCCCTGGTCCAAACCATCGAGTCTGCATTTCTTGTCATATACTGGTTTTTTAAAAAAATTATACTGAATTTCATTCCATTCAACTAACAAAGCCTTATCTGTGCCAAATGCTTCTGAAATTCAGCTGAAAAGTCGAAAAATGGTCTCTGGAGTACGTGTTCCAGGGCTGCAAACTCAAGAGGTTCAAAAGTGGCAAAGCCAAAAACGGAGATTTGACATCTCGCTGGACCTACCAAATTATATTTTGCCACAACTGTCTTAAATCTGGACTACTTTTCAAAAAGGGGGGGAAAAAATTAAAGAGATTTCAAAAGCTGTACTTAAATCCAATCCTAAGAACTGAACCAACTTGGCCAGCGAAAGACAAAAAAAAAAAAAAAGAAGAGTTGCATCTCCTGTATGGTTTAAAGAATGTAGAACGTTTTTAAAAGTTTGAAAGAATGCAGAAAGTTCAAGTGAGCAGAGGAGAAGAAGAATTTAGAGGTGCAGGTCCATGACTTATGTTATAACTTTGTAGACATCACCCAAGTAGACAAGCATTGATGCAATTAATTTGAGGATTATTTCCCCCCCCCAGACATCAGTGGATACAGTTCAGTGTTATCTCTTAATAACTGAAACATACAGTATTTCTAAAAAAAAGAGAGAGATCATCCCGAAAAACCTTGTGAATGAAGAACATTGAGGTCCTCATCATATAACATTGCCTCTTCCAAAATGAGCAAAAGCGATTGTCCACTTACAGTTGGCTACTTGCAGGTAGTAACCTAAACATGCCTCTTTAAGGCATGTAGAAAACCTGGAGTAGAAAGCAAGGGAGAGAGGCGAACCCAGGGCCAGCCTTGCTGAGCAAGTTGGTTAATGCTACGTTGGATTAATACATTGACGTTTACAACTTGGTCTGGATCACAGAGTGCACAGCTCGGATGTGAACGCTGGGCAGGCACAGCCACGAAGGGGGAAACTCCTTGTCTGAGTTGTCTTCGTGGAACTTGATGTTCAAGTAAAAGTCACCCGTGCAGAGAAAGAGAAGAGCACCGACACACACGGAATTTTCTGTCGGCTGAACCTGAAAGAAAAGGATGGGAGAATTTGAGCAGATTCAGACAATATATAAACCGCATGTGTATGCTCAGTTTCTCCATCCTTGCATTAAAAAGGGATTCCATGTTCCTGGTTTAGGTCCTGGTTTTTTCCAAATGTACCTGGAAGAGACTATTGGTCAGTGGTGGTCAAATTAGCCTCTTGTTGCAAATGGATAGAAGAGATTATTATTATTATTATTATTATTATTATTATTATTATTATTATTATTATTATTATTATTATTATTACTATTATTATTATTATTATTATTATTATTATTATTATTATTATTATTATTAGATGAGAAAGAACTGGAGAAGATAACAAAATACAAAGACCTACAAATAGAAATAGAAAGACTGTGGCAAAAGCAAGCAAGGGTAGTACCAATAGTAATAGGCGCCTTGGGTGCAATCCCAAAACAACTGGAGCACCACTTGAAAACCATCATCGGCATTGACAAATTCGCCATTAGTCAATTGCAAAAGGCAGCCTTACTAGGAACTGCTTCCATCCTGCGATGATATCTGTAATACCATCAAACATCCACATCTGCCTATCCCAGGTCCTTGGTAAGGACTCGATAGGTAGACAAAATGTCAAATCCAGTCTGAACATCTGGCTGACTGTGCAATGATCCATAATAATAATAATAATAATAATAATAATAATAATAATAATAATAATAATAATAATAATAATAATAATAATATCCAGACTTTTTTGTCTTTCTTATCGACTTAACAATTGTCGATAAGACAAAAAAGTCTGGATAGTGGACGTGGCAGTGCCTGGAGACAGCAGAATAGATGAGAAAGAACTGGAGAAGATAACAAAATACAAAAACCTACAGATAGAAATAGAAAGACTGTGGCAAAGGCAAGCAAGGGTGGTACCAATAGTAATAGGTGCCTTGGGTGCAATCCCAAAACAACTGGAGCACCACTTGAACACCATCATCGGCATTGACAAATTCGTCATTAGTCAATTGCAAAAGGCGGCCTTACTAGGAACTGCTTCCATCCTGCGACGATATCTGTGATACCATCAAACATCCACATCTGCCTATCCCAGGTCCTTAGTAAGGACTCGATAGGTAGAAAAAAATGTCAAATCCAGTCTGAACATCTGGCTGACTGTGCAATGATCCATAATAATAATAATAATAATAATAATAATAATAATAATAATAATAATAAGTAGTAGTAGTAGTAGTAGTAGTAGTAGTAGTAGTAGTAGTAGTAGGAAGGGACCTTGGAGGTCATCTAGTCCAACCCCTTGCTCAAGCAGGAAATCCTATACCATTTCGGACAAATGGCTGTCCAGTCTCTTCTTAAAAACTTCCAGTACTGGGGCATTCACCGCTTCTGGAGGCAGGCTGTTACACTGGTTAATTGTTCTAACTGTTCTAACTATTTGTAGCTGTGGGTTGAACTGTGGGGTCCTCAGTGCTCTCTTGCAGACATTTCGTTATCAAACTCGGAGAGCATCAACGACCCCACAGTGCACTGGTGATGTTACCTAGTTTGGTAACGAAACGTCTGCAAGAAAATAACCAACTTCAGAGGGTACCTAGGACCCCCGTTGTTGCAAATTTCACACAATTTTAAAGGAACCCCTGGGTTTGTGTGCATTGTAGCATCCATTCTCCAAAGCACAACAATATAGTTCCTCATGCTTGCCAAGGAGGAGGCCTAATTAATTTACCAAATTGGTAGAAGAATAACTGGAACCCATTTTGCCTACGTGAAACAACATTGGCCCTGTCTTCTACAGGGTGTATCGATTTTGTTTCCTTTCATACTTCGTATTTTTATCGGTGGCGTAAAACATTCTGGTGCTATACAAAGTGGAGCACAAACTGAAAAATTGTTAAGTAAGCAAGCAAACAAATAAATCCATGCTTTTTTTTAAAAAAAAAAAACAGTGACAGGTGAGGGATTCCAAAGCACTTTCAAAAAAAGTGTTGAATAAAAAAAGCGCGGAACGCCACCGACGTTCCTTTCTTTAACTTTTTAACTTGGAGACAGAACAAATACGACCAAGCGTGGACTTACTGTATCGATGAAAAAAGTGTTGGATCCAACGAAAGTGATGCCCTCTTGAAGATCGTAATTGTGGACGCCGTTTTGATAGTCTTGGTAGGGGATCACAGTGAGGGAGAAGGGCCCCACGCTGTGCTTGCTCCAGTTGGTCAGCTTCACTTCCAGTTTCACTGGGTCCCCGACAGTGCAGTCCGCCACAATATCCGAGTCGCAGGGTTTCCCTTCCACCAGCACGTCTGTAGTACACAAAGCGGAAGACGGGATGAATGACTTTTGCTTCGAGAAGGCGAAATCCTAAATTTAATGTCTTTTGCAAACTACAAGGAGGCAGGTTGCAAATGAAAATGAATACCGCAGTACAGGTCGTCCCCAGCTTACAACAGTTCATTTAGTGACCGATGTTACAACAGCACTGAAAAAAGTGACTTATGACCGTTGTTTTACACTTACAACCATTGCAGCATCTCCGTGGTCACATGACCAAAATTCAGACGCTTGCGCTCATATTTATGACGGTTATAGTGTTTCCGGGGGGGGGGGGGGCACGAGATCCCCTTTTGCAACCTTCAGACAGGCAAATTGAAAGGGGATGCCAGATTCACTTAACAATCATCTTGCTAACTTAACAACTACAGTGAATCCCTTAAGGGCAGCAAGACAGGTCGCAAAATGGAGCAAAAGTCACTTAACAAATGTTTCACCTTGCAACCGAAATTTTAGGCTCGACTGTGATCGCAAATCTTCAACGTACAGTCACAATTGAGCCCCTAATTTTTGCTGCTAGGAAAGACAGTTGTGAAGTGCTACATTTTACGACCTTTTTTGCCATGGTTGTTAAGTGAATCTCAGGTTGTTAAGTAAATCAGGCAGCCGTTAAGTGAGTCGGGCCTGAGCAGGAGGTTGGACTAGATGACCTCCAAGGTCCCTTCCAACTTTATCATTATTATTATTATTATTATTATTATTATTATTATTATTATTATTATTATTATTATTATTATTATTTCGCAAACGACAATCCTAGAGCCAGTGACACAGCGCCCAACGTTTGATCACGTGACTGCAATGGTCGTAAGCCTGATAGCTGATCCTGAGCCATTTTTTTCAGCGCCGTTGTAACTTTGAATAGTAATTAAACAAACGGTTAAAAACTGAGGACTACCCGCATAATGTCCTAATCGGTCCAGCAGGTCATTCAGTTGCAAAACGGGACAACTCACCATGGCCAACTCGCTGTGGGACAATTCACTGCGGCCAACACACCACGGGAGTCACTCAGTTCCTTTTATTTTTGTTGACCACACTTTCGTCAAAATTATTTTATCTCTGGTATCAAAGGAAAATCATTCCTGTGACTACCAGCTTTTGCAATGCGCTGATGAAGAAGAAAAGGAACTAATCTCGCGTTGAATTGTCCCGTGGCGAGTTGGTCACCGCAAGGAGTTGGCCACCGCGCGAGTTGGCCACCGCAAGTCGGCCACGGAGAGTTGGCTGCGGCAAATCGACATAGACCAGGGGTAGGCAACCTTGGCTCTTTTATGACTCGTGGACTTCAACTCCCAGAATTCCTGAGCCAGCCACGTTGAGGGGAAAGGGAGAGGTTTCCAAGCTGAGCCAGGCTGGCTCAGGAATTCTGGGAGTTGAAGTCCACAAGTCATCAAAGAGCCAAGGTTGCCTATCCCTGACATAGACTCATTCAGCTGAGGTAAAAATCTGTTACTCAGATATTATTATTATTATTATTATTATTATTATTATTATTATTATTATTATTATTATTATTATTATTATTAAGACTTGAAATCCTGGTAATAGTAAATCATCCATAAGTAGCATTTTCTCTAAAATGATAAGGTTTAGGAATTTTACAACCAGTTTACAATTTTCGTTTACAATTTTACTAGTATGAAGTTAGACTTTATTGAGACACGGGTTTTAAATGAGAAAGCACAATCTTTTATTAATTCTTCTTAACGGAAAACATCTGAATTCACCTAGGCCAGGGGTAGGCAACTCTTGGCTCTTTTATGACTCGTGGACTTCAACTCCCAGAATTCCTGAGCCAGCCATACCGAAGGGAAAGGGAGAGGTTTCCAAGCTGAGCCATGCTGGCTCAGGAATTCTGGGAGTTGAAGTCCACCAGTCATAAAAGAGCCAAGGTTGCCTACCCCTGACCTAGGCATTCCTAATGTATTTTTCTCTTTTGATATTGTTAAATTGGTATCGTTTAACAGGTGAAGAATCCGCAGGAATCTAAAGAAACCGACCAACAAATCACAACACAGCCAGACAGAGATGCAATGGATAATAATGGCAGATGTTCATTTTAATCTTGATTAGATAGCAATTGCAGCTAATTCGAAATAGTATTCATCAGTAAAAATATGTACAGGTGTTGCCAGCGGGGAATAACATTTTAAAATATATACCCATATTTTTTTGCCCGTATTATCAGGTCTTCCTGAACGACACAAAAGAGTTTAGGCATCCTTAACACCTTCAGAACCTCATCAACTGACAGAGCAGGGAAAAGATCAGAAGCATTCATTTTGGGTAGATTAATTTAGCAATAATAAGCCTCAAATCAAACAGGTCAACTTTTCCATTCATTTCATCATATTCTTGCTTCAACTTCTCCTCTCTGTTATTTTTAGTCTCGTCTGTGTAAACCATTTGAGTTAAACCTAATGTTTTGTCACTGTCACAACCCCTCCCACTTGCCTGCACCGTGCATGACAAATCACCCCAAAGATCTCATCACAACGGGGCAAAAAAATAAAAAAAGTAATTAGATAAGATAAGATAACCTTTATTGTCATTTTTTTTTACTGTGGGCACAACGGCACACGTCAAAAATGAAATTTAGTTGCCCGCTCTCAAAGTGAAACACATACATGACACACACCTAAACATATTATGTACAACATATGTATAGACCTACATCCCTACATATACATAATAAATAAATATTAACTACTGTCCATCTTGAATTTATAATGGAAGGAGGAAGCTTGAGAGTTCACAAGGTTAATGCTGTATGGAATGAAATTATGGCTGAATCTGGAAGTTCTGCTTCGGATACCATGGAGCCCCGACCTCCCAGAAGGTAACAAGGAAAACAGGTCGTGAAGAGGATGTGTAGTGTCCCAGATGATCTTACAGACCCTGCTCAAGCAATGCTTCTGTGCTATGTCCTGGATGGAAGGGAGGGAGCTGCCAATGATCTTTTCAGACATTCTCACCACTCTCTGCACCGCCTTCCTGTCTGAAGCAGGGATGCTTCCAAATCAGTCTGTGATGCTGTGTGACAGGATGCTCTCAATCGTCCCCCTGTAGAAAGTGGTCAGGACAGGGGAAGGAAGATGTGCTTTTCTCATGCAACGCAGAAAATGCAGGCGCTGCTGTGCCCGCTTCACCAGGGTCTCGCTGTTGAGCAACCAAGCCAGCCTACTCGTTAGCTGCACACCCAGGAATTTGATGCTGGTAACCATCTCCACAGGTGTCAGTCTTATATTTTTTCAGAACTAAAAAAAGAGGGCCAGTTGAATACACAAGCTTTACAAATGAAGAACTAGCTCTTGCAAGGACCACAAAGGAAGCTTTTCATTCGTGCACGTGTTTAACACATCTCGGGCTTCTCTGCTGAGACGTATCTGGCAAATTAAAATTTTCCGGTTCTCTTGACGAATCAAGGCAAGGTAATTAGCAAGCACACACTGAGCTCATTCCAAGGAAAATATGGACACTGCCAGGATAATAGGCTTATGGACAGAACACATGAAAAAAGAGGGATGTCAAACGCCGGGGAAATCACAAAATTCAGGCAGTTCAAATGAGACTAAAGGCTGATTGCAAGTTTAAGTTCTCTATAAGAATCTGACCAACTAAGAGTCAAGGGAATTGTGTGGGAGATAAGACAGTCATTCAAGGTGGGGTGGATTTAGATCTCTTGTGGGCGCACAGGGACTCATGACTTATGACGTGTTTGACCCCTCCCTTGGGCTCAGCCTGGTCATCTCCTATAATGGCTGGGTTAGTGCGCAGAAAAAGCCTTCTTTAATTTCTCTAATCTTTTCAGTCCAAAGATTCAGGATCAACTCCCTATACCATTCCAGACAAATGGAAGTTTCTTCTTAATTCCAGGTTGCTTCTCTCCTTGATTAGTTCAATCAATCAATCAATCAATCAGAATAGAGCTGGAAGGGACATCAGAGGTCTTCTAGTCCAACTCCCTGCTCGGTACTTGTTCCGGTGACTTGCCGGGAACGTGGGAGCATTTGGGGAACATTTGGAGCAATAAAGGGGCGGTTTGAATTGCCAGCTGACAGTGTAGCCTCTGTGCTGTGCCCTGGGTCATCACACTCTGCTTTGATGCACCATCTGTGTTAGCAAGTCAAATACACGATGCCCGGACTTTACTCCCTAGCAAACGAGAATGTTAAATGAGCTCCACCGAGTGCCGTGAACCGTTTCTGCGTTAGCGAGAGAGCGAAACCGAAACCATTCCTTGCTTCAGATGAGCAGCTCTCTAAGGGTAGTTTCCCCGTAATTGGCCGCCTCCCTGAGCCTCTGCAAACAGGGCTGATCATTTGACAGAACAAGCTGTCTTTACCTGTTTATTAGTGCCAGCTTATGTTTTGCGTTCAGGAAATAATTAGTCTCTGTAAGCATACAAACCCTAAATCAATCGTAGACTAATTGGCTGGGGGAGAGGTGAAATCAATTTCTCCAATCTGAAGTTTCTGTCTTATGACCTTTAAAGTTTTAATTGGATGTGATATCGGAGGCTTTCCACGGATACATAGAGATGAGGTGTGGCACATCGCCACGTTAAAAGGGAAGGCGAGTAGGTTTAGCCTTCATTGGACTGTCCCATTGCAGATACAACATAAGGCTTGGAGACCAGTCAAATGGCTAAATTCTACATCTAATAGTGGCGCTGAGCCTTCTGAGAGGCAGAAAACGAGCATTATCAAGTTTAATGTTAATGAAAAAGATAAAAAATGTTGACACTTTGGAGAGAATTCAGAGAAGAGCGACAAAAATGATTAGGGGCCTAGAAGCTAAAACATACAAAGAACGATTGCAGGAATTGGGTAGATCTAGTCTAGCGAAAAGAAGGACGAGGGGTGACATGATAGCTGTCTTCCAATACTTGAAGGGCTGCTCCAAAGAAGAGGGAGTCAAGCTATTCTCCAAAGCACCTGAAGGCAGGACAAGAAGCAATGGATGGAAA